TTCGCTCCAAATTGTGAATAGCCAAATAAGCTGCTTGTATCAAGATGAGCTTGACCAGGAACTTGCATTAGTTTTTGCAGAACAAGATCTCGAAGCATTTCCATTTTGTGTTTCATGGATGGTAGCTCTGATAATGGAAGTTCAGAAATAGGAGGATTGACCTTTTCGGCCTCACGCAAAGCTTTATTTACTTCCATTTCTTCTTCAATCTGCATTTCCAGGTAATTAATTTGGGAAGTCATGATTTGCATCAAGGCTTCACGGTGAGCACGCAAGTTTTGTTCGGCAGGGTAGGGTTGTGCTGTAGGATTAGCACCAAAATATTTGGTTAAGATCGCATCCATACCGGGGTTGCTGAAAGTATAAGCCTTGCCAGAAGGCGAAAAAATCACCAACAAAATCTCCACCCCACATAGTGTGGATATCTCATTGGCCTTCTTGATAAGACCATTGCGGCGTTTCGAGAAGGCAACACTACAACTAGTGTCACTTTCAATTCTAGATAGGGGAATCCTTTGCCTACCTCTACCCACCCTTCGATTGGCATTATTGCTAGACATTTTCAAGAAAAATATAATTCCCTCACAAAAGATGTAGAGACAAAGTATATTGACAGCATTGAATGTGTAGTGGTCTATTTATAGTTGGGTGTGGTTGTTATTCCTTAACGCTTTTCAATTCCATATTGGAAATTTATTATGCTACTAAAATAAAAACAAATTAAATTGGAAGTTTACAACTGAATGATCGATATAGATATTCACAACTTTTTGGTATGTCGGATCTCGAATTTGGAATAATCAATGAAGATTTTTACAACTTGGTATGCTGAATCTTAAATTCGTAATATTATTATGGAATTATATAATGCCAGCTCATGTGTTGGTAGGTAAGATCTAGAATTTGTAATATAATAAAAACTTTGGCCAGTATATAAAATATATGTATTTAATATAAAAATATATTTATTAATTATTCACAATTGTATATTGTGTTGCTTCTTAATCGGTATAGGCATTGACCCAACTATTCAAAATATCAACTAATTTCATACACCACACACAAAAAAAGTTCCATTTTCACAACTTGGTATGCCGGATCTTAAATTCGTAATAATGTAATAGAAACTATAATGCCAGCTCATCTGTTGGTAGGTGAGATCTAGAATTAGTAATATAATGAAAATTTTGACGGCCATATAAAATATGTAATTAATATTAAAATGTATTAATTAATTATTCGGGGCTGTATATTGTAACAGCTTCTTAATCAATATAGGCATGGACACAACCCTTCAAAAATTACAACTAATGTTGTATACCACACAAAAAGAATGGTCGATTTTAACAAATTGGTCCGCCGGATCTTATATTCATAATTATATAACGAAAATATATAATGCCATCTCATGTGTTGGATCATATGAGAACAAGTCTTTAGGTGAAAACTAAGAACCAATCTCAACTTTACGTTTGGGAAAAATGGATGTACCAGATCCGACTTAAGATAAAACATGTGGTGACATTTTCGTAATTATCACCAACTTTACTATGTAAACTTGAAAACAAAAATCTATAATTTTCAGAATTTTCCAGATTTGCACATGTAGTACTAACATTTTGCATATTTAGTATTTAAATATTGCACTTGCAAAATTGCAAAAGTGCATTGTACTTGGGGTTTCTATTTTAGAGTTTATGACTGCATTTTTTGTTTTATTTGGTTTAGTGGTTCACTTTTTACTGCTTAGCGTCTATCATTTACAGTTTAGATTTAAAATTTAGCCATTTCATTTTGTAAGTGTACAAATGATACACATTACACCCTTTTTTGTTGACTAATTTAATTGACAAAATAATTAGAATTTGTTGACTTGAGAACATTTTGTCAAATTCTAGTCAAAAAGGGAATACTAAGACAATCAAAGATTAGGACATATATTCCTAATCTAAATAGGAATAGTAATCCTATTCCTATCCAACCTGCAAACTCTCGGCCTACAAAAGGAACTGCTTCACAACTCTCTCATTCACGCTTTCAGCACCTAATCGTGAACACGAGAGTAATTGAGAGAGATTCCCAAATCCCCTTGAAAAGTAGTACAAGTGTTTAGGTCTCAATAGCTTGATAGGAAATCATATTGTGTAATTCTCATTCCCTAAACAAAAGTGTACTTTAAATATTGAGCTTTTAGTGGATTTAGGCAAATTCTCAATTTGAGAAGTGCCTCGCAGATTAGGGCTGCTTGCCCGAAACTGCGTTATAAATATTTGTGTCACAACGTCTATTTCAAAGTTACCGAACTCAAACGTCTATATTAATTTCAATTGGTATCAGAGCGGGTCTGCTCAAGTTACCAGCAGGATCCAAATGGAGTTCCCAAGAGAAGGTCTTTCAAACAACAGACCCCCGGCTTTACTTGGCACAAACTTCTCCTACTGGAAAGCTCGAATGCAGATATACATTCTAGCACAAGGAGAAGGCGTCTGGAATGCAATAGAAAACGAATGGAAAACTCCGGTTGATGATAAAGGAAATGCAAAACCTAGAACTGATTGGAGCGAAGAAGAGATAGTGCAATTACTGAAGGAATACAATGCTATGAATGCAAAGGCTTTGGACACATTCAATCAGAATGTGCTACATACTTGAAAAGGAAAAATAAAACATATATAACAACTCTGAGCGATGACTCAGATAATGAAGAAGATGATAACAATACAAACTTCGTAGCATTCACTGCTAGTCATGAAGACAACAATAGTGATGACATGCAAGAGTTACTAGAGGCATACACTCAACTAAATGCCAAATGGGAACAAATCATCAAGAAAAACTTGGAACTCATGGAAGATAATCACTATTTAAAGAATGAAAAAGAGCGAATAGAGAAACAGTACAAAGAAGCCCAGAACGAACTCCTAGACCTCAAGAACAGAGAAACAAAACTGCTACAAGAAATTAAGGAGCTTACCAAAAGACTCGGGACTCCAAACACGGACACCAGTGAGAATAATCAACCTGAAATACAGGAGGTGTCGCAACAGCACTTCCGACATCGAAGAAGAATAAGGTGCTACTATTGTCACAAACTAGGACACATCAAAGCACATTGCTACAAAAGACAAAACGACTATTACTACAGACAAAACAACGGGGTATGGCCACCACACAACAGAAATAATAGCAAGAAAATCTGGGTAAGAAAAGACCAAAATGTTGCATACACTTCCAAAACAAACAAAGAGCAAGATATATGGTATTTTGACAGTGGATGTTCCAGGCATATGACTGGAAATCCAGAAAATTTAGAAAACATACACTATAAAGATGAAGGATATGTTACCTTTGGAGATGGAGGAAAAGGAAAAATTGTTGCAAATGGAATCCTGAATGTACATGGACTGCCAAAACTGCCAAAAGTCTTCCTAGTACAAGGGTTAAAAGCAAACCTGATTAGTATAAGTCAACTATGTGAAGATGAACTTAAAGTGGAATTCACAAAAGATAGTTGCAATGTTCTCAATCATAATCATGAATATGTTATGATCGGAAGAAAATCCGCAAATAAATGCTACACATAGGACGGTGATCTATCTTGCCTACAGACAACCGTCAATCAAACACAACTATGGCACCAACGGATGGGTCACATAAACTTTCATGACATGAAAAATGGTTTAAAGAAGGGAGCCTATCGAGGAGTTCCAACACTTGACATAGATGATAACAAAAAATGTGATGCATGCCTCGAAAACAAAATAACCCGAACAGTCCATAGGAAGACCTCAAGAATATACACTTCTAGAATTCTAGAACTACTACACATGGACTTGTTTGGGCCAACTCAGACAGAAAGCATAGGGGGAAAGAGATATGTTTATGTAACAGTTGATGACTACTCAAGATTCACATGGGTAAACTTTCTTAGAGAAAAATCTGAAGCATTTACAACATTCAAAACCCTCATTATCAAAATTCAGAATGAAAAAGAGGGAAGAATAGGAAAAATTATTCGCCTAAGAAGCGATCATGGGAGAGAGTTCGAGAATACAAAATTCAAAGAATACTGCACAGAGAATGGAATTCATCATGAGTTCTCCGCACCAAAAACACCCCAACAGAATGGGGTAGTTGAACGAAAGAATCGAACCATCCAAGAAATGGCAAGAGTCCTCTTAAATCACAAAAGACTTCCATCAAAATTCTGGGCAGAAGCAGTTAACACAGCATGCTATTTGATAAACCGGGTATACATTCGAAAAGAAATCAACATGACACCATATCAAATCTGGAAAGGAAGAACACCAAATTTAAAACACACACATGTGTTTGGAAGCAAATGCTATATTCTAAAAGATAGAGAACCATTGGGAAAGTTTGATATCAAAGGAGATGAAGGAATCTTCCTAGGATACTCCTCAAACAGCCGGGCATACCGAGTATATAACCTCAGGACAAACACTGTCATGGAGTCTATCAATGTTATGGTCAATGACAAAACAGAAGATTTCCCCAAAAATGATGAAGAGATAACTGGTGTTGAAACAGCAGTTCCAACATCACACAACCAGAAATCAGAACCAGAAATATTAGAAAAAGAAGAAACTGTAGACCTTGAAGAAGAAATCCACACCACTGATGAAACCAGGGTACAGAAAAATCATCCAATAGAGAACATCATAGGAGGACTAAATGAAGGAATCAGGACTAGAGGAAAGAAACGAGACTATCAAAAAATGGAAGAAGGAGACTATGACTACTGCTACACCTCAAAAATTGAACCCAAAAACATCACGGAAGCCCTAAAAGATGAATTTTGGGTAGAAGCCATGCAAGAAGAATTACAACAATTCGAAAGACACAATGTCTGGGAGTTAGTCCCTAAACCGGAACATGCCAATATCATAGGGACAAAATGGATTTACAAAAATAAAACGGATGAACAAGGAAACATCATACGTAACAAAGCCCGACTAGTAGCTCAAGGATACACTCAAGTAGAAGGAACAGACTTCGAGGAAACATTTGCCCCAGTAGCCAGAATTGAATCAATTCGGCTACTCATAGCAGTAGCTTGCATACTCAAGATAAAACTCTACCAAATGGATGTGAAAACTGCATTCCTGAATGGATATCTAAAAGAAGAGGTCTATGTTGCTCAACCAAAAGGTTTTGAAGACCCCCATTTTCCACAAAGTGTGTTTAAACTTAACAAAGCACTATACGGACTAAAACAAGCACCACGGGCTTGGTACGAATGCCTCACTGATTTCCTAATCAAAAAGGGTTACACAAGAGGCAGCGTGGACAAAACCCTATTCGTCAAACAACTCGGTCAAGACATAGTCATTGCCCAAATCTATGTTGATGACATAGTATTTGGCTCAACACTCAAGGTCCACAAAGACCAATTCATCATCAACATGGAAGGGGAATTCGAGATGAGCATGGTTGGGGAACTAACCTACTTTCTTGGTTTACAAATCAGACAACTGGACAATGGAATCTTTATCTCTCAAAGCAAGTATGCCAAAAATTTAGTCAAAAGATTTGGTCTAGAAGAAAGCAAGGTTGTCAGAACACCTGTTCCAACAACAGAGAGAATATCAAGGGATGCAGAGGGAAAACCGGTTGAACAAACCCTATATCGAAGCATGATAGGAGGGTTACTGTACCTAACTGCCAGCAGACCAGATCTAAGCTTTGCAGTAGGAATTTGTGCAAGATACCAAGCAGATCCAACCGAGCAACATTTAAAAGCGGTCAAAAGAATCATTAAATACGTGAAAGGGACATCTGATCTAGGAATATGGTACTCATTTGACACCAATCATCATCTCTCAGCTTATTGTGATGCTGACTGGGCAGGTAACATAGATGACAGAAAAAGTACGTCAGGAGGATGTTTTTTCCTAGGTACTAATCTAGTATCATGGATCAGCAAGAAATAAAGCTCAATTTCACTGTCAACAGCAGAGGCTGAATATATTGCAGCAGGAAGCTGTTGCACACAACTACTTTGGATGAAACAGATGCTAGAAGACTATGGAATGCAACAGTCAACTATGATAATTCACTGTGACAATAAGAGCGCAATAGACATTTCAAAAAATCCAGTTCAACACTCAAGGACAAAACACATAGACATCAGACATCATTTCATAAGAGAATTAGTTGAAGATGAAATCATCAGTCTTACTCACATAAGTACAGAAAGACAACTAGCAGATATTTTGACCAAAGCTCTAGATGGAAATAGATACACAAAACTAAGGACTGAAATGGGCCTGTGTATCCTATAACACTCATCAATTAAAAGAAAAACACATGGGCCCAATCCACAAAACAAGTCCATCAACCCAAAACCGGCCCATGTCCATATCTGATATATCACACCGACCCATCATAAAAGACCCAAACCCGGATACCCATCCCAAACAAAAGCCCTGTTTCAGAAACCCAGAATCGTCATCCTTACCCGACTCCACTCAACATCCATCAGTGACCTTCCCACTCACCCCAAACCTTCACACAACAGGAACCATGGTGAGAACATGAAACCAAAGGATGGGAAAGTTACCACGAAAGAAAACGACCAAGGGCACCACAAACTACACCGGCACCGGAGAGTCCTCGAACCCGATATGTGTCGAAGAAGAAAGTCCCAACATTACAACAAATCCCGTTCCGATAGCCAGAGTACCGTTCGGCGAACCCCAAGAACAGAGCCACCCACCAGGTAACCCGAATCTCCCTCTAGCAGATCATGAAATCCCCATGCCCATGCCCATCGCGGCTGATTTCGGGGACAATAGAATTGTTGATCCAAACGATTTAGTGGTACAACTCCGGTTTGCCATAAATCGTGGCTGGGAACCTGATCTAGGTTCCTATGTTAGCTCTGTCGATGAAGAAAATCCAAGGGGAACTGAAAGTGAGGGACAAGAGGAGTCTCAACATCATGAGGTGAATCGTCCCCCAAGTCCTACAAATGGAGAACAAACCCAAATCGATGAAACCCCAAATCCAATTCCTCGGGTCAACCGAAACCCTAGAAAGAGGAAGGTGACTGACCCGTATGAAGGGGCCGATCCCAGAGCCAAAAGGCCGAATGATTTCCCAATACGGGCAGGACCCCCCCAACGACAGCCAAATATCCCACCTAAACCCTCAAAAACCAAGAAATCAAAAATGACACAAACAGAGGATGAACATGACTGGACACCCAATGAAGATAATGATGGTGATGAAAGAGTAAGGACCCGAGCCCAAAAGAAGTCCCAGCTACCTACCAAGGAAAAAGAAAAACAAAAGAAGAAACCAACCACCAAAAGGGATAGACTGTCCAGCAAGGAAAAGGGGAAACAGAAAGTAGGTACTAAGGAAAAGGGGAAACAGAAAGTAGGTACTAATGCTGACATGTCATACCTACCAAAACCCCATAGTACAAACTTTCTGAGAAAAGAAGCAGTAAGTTTATGGAAAAGAATAGTAGAAAGAAAAATTATCAGCCAAAAACTGCTTCCTATAGATAAGCTAGACAATCCAGAACAGATTCAAGAAATATTAATCACAAGTCAACTCCTGGGAACAGTGACCAATATAGAACCCTATGATGAACAGGTTATACAGGAGTTCTACTGCAATATGACAAAAACCATCTCTACACCTAGTAGTCCTTTGTATGGAAAGGTATATGTAAGAGGCAGCTTCTATAACTTCACTCCAGACATCATCAACAGATATCTAGGAACACCAGAAGCAGAACAAAACATGGAAATAAACAGTGAGCAAGTTGCCCAAGAGCTCACAGCTGGAAATGTCATTTTTGAAAAGAACAAGATCAAAGCAGCTTCCCTAACAAGCAAATATGCCACCCTCCAGAAAATAGCTCTAGCAAACTGGATGCCATCACTCCACGAATCCACTGTGAAATGGACTTTAGCAGAGCTGCTATACAAGATAGGGAAAGGAGTTAAACTCAACATGGGTATCCTTATCTACTCACAAATCACAAACCTAGCTGAAGACACAAAATCCAACACTTCCTTAATCTTCCCAAACCTCATCTTTGGCATACTGACAAAACAGAATCTCAAGACACATGGCCCAAAAACCATTGTCAAGAACCTCAACACCACAGTAAAATTAAGGAAGGGAAGCCATCAAAATGACCTAAGATCCTTAGCCCCAAAGAACAATCCTCTAGACTCCAAGACACTAATCAGCTATTTTGAGGGAAGACTAACAGAATTGGAGACCTCAGAAAAACAAATCTTAAGGAAACACATGGACATCAAGGAAGAAAGAGCAGAAATATCAGAATGGTTAGAAATCCTAAAAGCAGCCAATGAAGAAGATCATGAAGAAGATCAAGAATCAGAAGAAGAAAGCCAGGAGTTCCCTCAAGAAAAGGATGAGCACACTCAAGAAAAGGGTGTTGAAACCCCTGTTTCAACATCAAATTCAGAAAATAGACCTTGACCATTTTAGCAAACAAGGGGGAGAAAGGCAGGCAGAAAACTCTCTGTTGTGAGTTTTTTTTTTTTGGGTTGCAGAGAAGGCAGAACTCTTGTTGTGAATCTTTGTTGGGTTGCACGGCAACAATTCTTTTTGTTGGCACAACTTCTGGCATAGTTACTCTAAGCTTTTGTTACAAGCAGATCAGACAAGAAAACCAAGCAGATCTTTGAGAGCTTAGCTCATTTACATCCCAATGATTCCTGTGTCATTTAAATTTATCCTCAGCATGGTAACCGGAAAGGATGCAAAATACCTTTATCTGGTATATATTATCTTATTTTTGCATATACATATCATTTACCTTTGGGACCCAGGATGCATCCTAATATCAGCAATACTAGCCCAACTCTTGCACACACAAAAAAAAAAAACAAAAAAAAAACAAAAAAAACAAAAAAAAAAAAAAACAAGAGCTTAACTGTATCCAATGTCCCACAAATTAAGGGGGAGACAATTCCCCTTAACAATCTCTGAAGAAACAAGATACATCAGGATAAGAAGGAGATTCACAAATTAAGGGGGAGACAAATCACACATGACAAGCCATGAGAAGATTCAAGATGAACCAAAGTTTTTGCTAAAGTTTGACAAAGGGGGAGAATGTTGACTTGAGAACATTTTGTCAAATTCTAGTCAAAAAGGGAATACTAAGACAATCAAGGATTAGGACATATATTCCTAATCTAAATAGGAATAGTAATCCTATTCCTATCCAACCTGCAAACTCTCGGCCTACAAAAGGAACTGCTTCACAACTCTCTCATTCACGCTTTCAGCACCTAATCGTGAGCACGAGAGTAATTGAGAGAGATTCCCAAATCCCCTTGAAAAGTAGTACAAGTGTTTAGGTCTCAATAGCTTGATAGGAAATCATATTGTGTAATTCTCATTCCCTAAACAAAAGTGTACTTTAAATATTGAGCTTTTAGTGGATTTAGGCAAATTCTCAATTTGAGAAGTGCCTCGCAGATTAGGGCTACTTGCCCGAAACTGCGTTATAAATATTTGTGTCACAACGTCTATTTCAACGTTACCGAACTCAAACGTCTATATTAATTTTAGAATTTATTTTAGAAATTAACCTCCGTCTCCTATCACATGCATTCTACAGCAATTGCAATAATCAGGTGCAAATAATTGAGTGGAAGTTGAAAGTATGGATCTGATCTTTAGTCGAAGGATGACTTATTTATTGTGGTGGTAATTTATTCTAGTATGGCTTTGAGTTGGTAAAGGCGTATGGATAGCACATATTGGGGAATTGGTTGAGTGAATTTCAATATAAAAGGATGGGATGCTTACCTCTTTATTTCACACGAATTAGAATATTATTATTTTTTAGAGAAAGTTTCCAGAATCACTACTTCAACAAATTACTTTATACTGTTGTTAAGGAAGTGTTGATCATACTGGGTCAGTTCGACTGCATCAGGATCAGCAGCATCAATAATTGAGGTCAATGTAGGCATGCACGTACCAATCTTATTC